AAATATTTGTCCAAAAAGAAATTTTAATTCATGACAGCAGAAAATTGTATCACAGATAATACTTAAAAATAATTGAAACTTGAATGAATTCAAGAAAGATCGATTGAAGTACATTTCTACAAAATGATATTATAGAGTGGTGAAAATTAAAACGCAACATAACTTTCCTGTTTACCATGTCTCCACGTGCTAGTCACTTCCTAGCCACATTTCCGTGAGTAATTTACCCTATCTCGCTGAAGTCTCGCTAGTTCTCGCCAGAGCCACTGTCAGAGCTACTCTAAACTCATCGGATTTTATAATGTGCAGAACACCGAAAAATAAAAGGCTCCGAACACATTAGTAGGGGTGACTATGCATTGTGGTATACTTCCGGCGTATTTTATTGGATCCGCCGTGGTATATTACTTCGCTGTCTTGACACGCTGAATATTTAGTTATTACGTTTCCAAGGTAAATAATTTACTTTTATTATTGTGAATAAATTAAACTTATATTGTCTTTTAATATTGTGTTCAGAAATAATAGTTTTTATGATGTGGAACTATTTTCCGTTAAGTTTTCCCGTTTTCTTTGAACGGGTATTCCGTTAGTTTTCATCAGATTACGTTAGTTTGGAACGGAATCCGTTCCCTGTTAGTATATAAGGAGAGTTCCGTTGTTCAACGGGGACTCCAGCCTTTTTCTCTTTCTTAGAAAGATGTAGGTCTATTTTCTCTAGATTTTTTAGACTTAGACAAATTAATTATTCACTGAATAGGAATTATCTGATAAAATTTTAGTACTTGATCTGCATATTTTTGGTATTTAATTAATTAATTGGGGAAAGTTAATTATTTTTGATTAGAGTATTTTTTTACAGACGACTGCAGCCACATATTTTATAGTGATTTTCGATTATTGGTTAATTTTTGTTGTTTTGATTAATTAGTTCTATCTCTGAATAAACCATCATCTCAAGTTATTTAACTCTTTCTCTTATTTATTTTTATTTTGCTGGAGTACATTTTATATTTTTTTAAGGACTGCCTTGGTGTCTAAAAGGGGTGGAGGCCGGCCATTCCCTCCCCTCTAATTTACCGTCATACTTATTTGGGAGTAGCCATACCCAGGGCAGCGGGCAAAGAGCGCTAGCCCGCTACAGTAGTGTTATATAAAGGAAAACATTTGCAAATGTAAATATTAGATCGTAAAAAACAATAGCATACCATTCTGAGGGAATGGGCAAGCTCCCATGGTTCAATATTATACAAGTAGTATATGGCTGGGAGTCCAGATGATAACTATAAATTATCATACACTTTATACAATTCTCTGATCATAAAACACATATGTACAGTTGCGCAGGTGAACGATGTGGCCGCTGGGCCTCTTGTTTCTGTTCATCCTGCTATTGGAAGCATATTGGACTTTTGCGAGAAGCACTGACTTTACAGTTGACGGTTTACTGTGACATTTTAACCTATGTCGTGTACGGAAGTACAGAATTGATAAAAGATAAGAAAACATTTCTAGTGGTCATAGGTATGGTGTTTGGGGCACTTGCATGTGAAGGCCGGGACTTAAATTAAAGGTAGGGTAGCTGTTGTTTTCTTCAAAGGCAACTCATTTGTGTATTAAATTAACCCGTTATTTTCGTTTAAAATTTTAAAAGTTTAACTAAATATTTAAATAGTAGAAGAGTTTCCGTACTTTGTTCTAGTGTAAAAGTAAGCCGCCGTCAACTGTAAAAGTCAGCATTCCTCGCACAAGTCCATTAGTGCCACTTGAATACTTGCTAAATTTTAATTTTCCACATTTTCATCTGTAAAAAATACATTCAAATATAATCTTTAAAATTTACACATTAATCTGTAAATTTCACACAATAACACAGTTTATTTTTATATTTTACAGTTTTATCTATATATCATTTTAAAAATGTATTTAAGACCATATCTAAGCGTAATTTTACAGAATAAAGTTTCGATTTTACAAATTAAACTGTAAGATGTAATAAATGCCTGCAAATATTCCAAAACCTCTTCGATAAACTGAATGTATATAACATTAATTACCAAAGCATCTGAACAAAACTATAGCTTTGTGCCACAAACCCAGCATTGAATATAGTCCTATGTGATAACCATGTGTCGTACGTGCCACAAAGTTTAGGAAACTCTGCATTCAAAGTAGCCAAATGGAAATGAACCTCTTGGGTCCCCTATATATTATGCCATTTTTTTCTTCATTTTTTGGGAAATAGGCTGGTTGCTGGTAGTAAAGAGCTGCGCCTCTTTCTTTAAGTGGAGGTTAAGGTACTCCACCAGGAAGGATAATTCTCTAATTTATAATTTGATTCAAAAAGTCTCAAAATGAAGCTTGAAAATTAAATCATTTCAGGCAACGTTTTCCATTTTATACGTCTCAATGTGCTCCAAGATTCTTTGAAGATCTCAGAAAGGTCTTATAAAAAGTCGAAATTTTTACCTCATAAAATAATGTCAAAATAATATACATGTATAGAGAAAAAAATGAGGGTTAGGAAAACTGCAAATAGCAACAAAAAATGGGGTGCTTTTGTTCAATATTTGCTTCACCTAAATTATAGATTTGATATAAATTAAAATGAGAGGGGGGTATTAATTTAATTAAATACGATTTGGTTGAGTGGACTTTAATTTAAATCCAGAATAAAACTTTTATCTTATGAAAACCCGGATACCTATTACGATAAAAATATATTATCCATTTTTCATTTCAACTTTTTTAAAGGAGTCTTTTAAATTGTATCAGTCGGTTCTGTCGAAAATCTTTCCATTTTATGCTCTGAAACATTAGCCAATTGTTTATCTCACCTGAGAAGTCTGAAGATTTTATCGTAAAAAAAATCTAGAAAAAAAATTCCCATACTACACTAAAAACGTTTTTTTTATTTGAGGGTGGGAACATTTTTTCCGATTTTTCATTTTTTTTTTTTTTTTGAGGATAAAACTTCTGACTTCTATGTCCCCCCTTTTATTCCCTGTTGATTCCCAATGTTTCGTCATTGACGACATTTTATTGGACTTTTACGAGAAGCGCTAACTTTTACAGTTGACGACTTACTTTTACACTAGGAGAGTGTGCGGAAACTCTATTACGATATTAATATGTAGCTCAACATTTCATTCAACAAAAATAACGGGTTATTTCAAATCACAGATAAGTTGTCCTTGAAGACAACGACAACCATACTACCCCCCCAACTCTCGGCCTTCATATTTTAGTGCCACTAACACCATTACTTTGACCACTAGAAAGGTTTTCTGATCTATTTTCAATTCTGTACCTCCGTAGACAATACAGGTTTAAATATCCATGTTAACAGTCAACCGAAATGTCAGTGCTTCTCGTAAAAGTTCATTAATCCATCTTGGCATGTTTAATGTTAGATAATCTGATATGTTTGTTTTTATGGACGTAATACTTGTAAAAGGAAAATGCCTAATTTGTTGAATTCAAATTCGTTAATTAGAGTGATGGATCCTTCTTTACGCTTTTGAACTGATGAAAAACTACTAGGGCAAGTTCATTGGTCCTTATAATGCGCTGTAAATAAATAGTGAAATTACTTCAATTTTAAAAGAAAAAAAAGTTATTTCTCGAAACTGTTTATTGTCAGTCCGTTTTATCTTAAAAAGTAGGCCTTTCAACTGCCGCTAGGGGTCGGTTTTATGAACGATAACTCACTGCTGAAACATGTTTAGAGCAGGCTTGGGGTATCTAACTGTTTACACGCAAGGCAGTTTTTAGCATTTCCCAAGTGTTTCTTTGCTCTCAGTAGAATCCAGTGGTTTTAAAATTTAGCAATGTTAAACTTATTTACTGTATGGTTGCGGACACCGTTTAACTACATATAATTAAAAGTTTTAATTAAAATAAAAAGTGAAATCTACCCTCCTTCTTAGTTCTAACCTACTTAAATTTTTATGCTCTGTCGTTCCCCTTCGTGCTTAGTAACACAAATAAGATGATCAATTGTTGCATTTACTTGTAAAAATATATATATTTATATAGGAAGCGAAAAAGCGCGAACACAAAAACATGACATGAAAATTTCTTCTTCATAATAATCGTCAAAGAGAGTTAAAAATATTGAATATAGTCTGTTCCTCATTCTTTTGACCCTGTTATTTCAGGTAGAGTGAAGGCATTTTCTTTCTCTTGGTCAACACTTTTGTGTACAATACAATGTAAGGGACCCTTTTGTGTACATAACAATACCAATGCTGAAGCAGCCTATATGTCATTCCTCTAAACGATAACTCATAAATCGGTACTAAGTTGGTCATTTTTCACACCTGAGTTACCCGTCCTTAAAACAAAACATAGGAAAAGTCAATCATAAATGATTAAATTTTTAATGATGTGATTAAAAGTATCCATATGTTATCATCTTTTTTTTTAATTTCATGTACCTATAAATCTATCTATGCAATGTTTTTACCATTATGTGCAACTTGAAAAATCAGTTTAAAGGCCTATAAAAAGTATTCAATGAAGACTTCTCAGTAGAATCCAGAAACGTTGAATTTCTCCTAAATGCTATAATCATGATATTTCATGAAAATATTGAAAAAAAAAAACTTTGGACATACACTTCTCTGTTTTCTATGTACATGATGACACCCTTGCAATTACTACAGAGTATTTTTGTGAAAGACATTGTTTATAAAATTAAATTAAAATTAAATTAAAAAATAAAAATAAAAATACTTGTAAATGAAAAAATCCGTAAATTTCATCTTTAGAAAAGTAACTTCATTTAATACTCATGCAGATTTTTTTTTATTCTGCTAAAAATGATAAAAAAAAATATTAATTAATTTTTGTAAGAGATGGCCTTTGAGTCGGAATTTCTAGAAACTCACAGGTCAATAAAACAGCAGGAAAAAAGAAATTTCAATTGTACCATTTGTCAAATTAACCACCAAGGTTTTTCCAAATCTATGAGACATAAAGCGAACTTATCTGTTCTTATGTTATGACAAGGTGAGGTGCATGGATTCAAAATGGTTAACGTTCTAATAGCCGTGTTCTTGCTAGGATTACTCAGCACATGTGGTAAGATCATCTGCAGCAGAAATTTCATAAAATGATACAATTCAAATTCAATTTATATTTTATTCTTTTGGTAAAATTCATTTCTTTTATTAAATTGATATTTAGGGGATTTTATAGAATTTTATGTTATATACGATATGTCACAGCGTGTGCTACACCCATTTCATGCTTGGATTTTCCCACAGGCACCTGACGTTACTTATTTTTCTTTTAATAAAAAAAAATATACACATACCTAATAATAAACAAGGTCCCCAACGGCGCCATCTTGAATTTTTCTAGGTCTGTCACATCCTCTTGTATTTTCGTCTGAAACTCCGTCAAATAAATTCTCTGCAACCATATTCTTTCTGTGACCAGTCTTTCGAGGTCTAAACTTACGGACAGTGCAACCAGAAGAGTGCATTTTGATTATATCAAAATTTTGAGCCTGACCAGACCTGCGCTCAGTGACTTTTATTCAAAATATTGACGTAATACGAGGGGCGTTCAATAAATAATGTCATCAGCTCGATGACATACGACATAGAAATTATATGACATCAAGCTTGACTTTCTCTAATTATCAAATCGTAAATGAATTGATAACAGTTTATTTGACCACTTTTCATCGCATAATGTCATTGTGGGAAGCTGGAAAACAAAGGCTACTCGAGACACTGCATTAAAAATGAATGGTCAAGAATCAGTAAACTAAAGTAAAATTAAACGCATCATTAAAACTGCTGTAAAACTTGTTAATTTCCCAAAAATCTATTAACTGATATATGTGAAATTTACAGCAATTTATGTCTGTTTCAGACACGCATGAATAGGTTGATTTCAATTAACAAAAATTATATAATGGGCATCAAAAATGGGTACCGTCCTTGGCAACAAGTACATACAACAACCAATGTATATTAGCGATAATTCAACAAATTAACACTGATTATGTTTTATTGATTTTAAGTTACATACCAAATTTGATAGACATCATTTCGGGGGTAGTTCACACGGTTTTAAAGAAACATTTGATTGTAAAAAAGTTTGATACTCAAAGGTCACCCTATATTTTAAAAATTGAGTGAAAACAAGAGCGTGTAGAAAATCTAAACAATTATGTTTAAAAAATCAAAAATTGTTCTTATCCACGTTTTTCTGAAATTCAAACAGATCATGAAACTTGAATCCATTTTGAGTTAAACCCTCAACAACAAATTTAGACACACACACACACTTGACAAAACTGCAAAGGCCTAAGAAGAGCAAAAATTTTTAAGAACACAAAAACAGTTTTATACGTTATTTTCTTAAATATTAGCGGTATTGTTGTTCAAATTCATATATAGGGAGGCAGTTCAATTTCTGGAGGAATCTAGTAAGCAAAATATTTGTCAAAAAAGTGAAAGGTTTATGAGAGGAAGGAAACAGAATAAGGAATCCACTACATTTAATTTCTTCCTGATATCGTCCAAACCCACAGGCCATGAAAAGTAAACGAGTTTTGGGGTAAACAGAAAGTTACTGTTTTGTCACATCAACAATATTCGCCAGATCTTTCAATCTTTGACTTGTTTCATTTCCCAAACTTAGGAAAACACCTTTCAGAAAGAAAAAAATAAGTACATCAAATCATATGATCTACCATTTTCCAGTATACGAAGGGTCATACTCAAAACTATGTTCTATAAACAATCAGAAATTGAATAAAAATGTTACGGACATGTGTTTTAACTAAAAGAGAATATCTTAGCTAAATCATTAAGACAAAATCATAGAAAAACGCTTTTTTGGTTCTTCCCGAGCACTGATGACATTATTTATTGAACGCCCCTCGTATATATAGTTTTCTGTAGAAATCATTGAAATTTTAAATTTACGTCATTTTCGTGACGTCATTTCAAACATATTACGTCATTGCTTATAAAAATATTCAGTGCTTTGAAGTCAGCATATATATCCCCCTGTTTAAGAATAAAATTAAATATTTCTCCGTCAAAGTTTGATTCGGGGGGCAAATATTGGTTATTCCCGAATAAAGTCCTTTAAAACCAGTTTTTAGGTTTTTGTTTTTAAATTGAATTCATGTACAAAATGCCCTATCTAACTGATATGCACTTGATCCCTGTGGAATTTTATTTCTTCAATGACAAGAAGTCCAAAGTTTTATTTCAAGTTGGTTTGTGATAGAAAAAAAAATTGCTGGTTTTGATAAAATAGACCCTGTAGTATAGAGATCTATGTAAAAAAATAATCTGCATGTACTTATACTTTTTCACATCAGCAGATGGTTTTATAATACCCAACCACCCAGGAAGATGTCCATTCGATCGAGCACGTGGAGCGAGGTCCAGTCGAAGCATTTGCCTGGCCCGCTGTACATCAGATAGCGACTGCCCAATTTCGAAAAAGTGTTGCAACATTAGTTGTCTTCTGGACTGCGCAGAAGCAGTCTAGGATTAACTTTAAGCACTATGTATGATAGATATACATTCTACAAATGGACAGTACACATAAGATTTGATTTTTATGCTTACATCTTTGAATTAACAATAAATTCATTTTCATTGAAAGAGTTACTTTCTTCCTATGGGTGTATACAACCAGCAACTGTACCATTTTTTGTTCATCCTTCTATTGGGAGCATATTGGACCTTTGCTAGAAGCACTGACTTTACAGTTGACGGCTTACTCTGACATTTAAACATAATTATGTTGTATACTGGGGCTCAGAATTGATTAAAGATAAGAAAACATTTCTAGTGGTCATAGGTATGTTTTTGGGCACTTGCATGTGAAGGCCGGGAGTTAAATTAAATGTAGGGTGGTTGTCGTTTTCTTCAAGGGCAACTCATTTGTGCATTGAACTAAACCGTTATTTTCGTTTAAAATATTAAATGGTTAACTAAATATTTATATCGTAGAAGAGCTTCCGTACATTGTCCCAGCCGCCGTCCACTGTAAAAGTCAGCATTCCTTGCAAAAGTCCATTAGTGCCACTTGAATACTTGCTAAATTTTAATTTTCCACATTTTCATCTGTAAAAAATACATTTAAATATAATCTTTAAAATTTACAAATTAATCTGTAAATTTTACACAAAAACACAATTTATTTTTATATTTTACAGTTTTAGTTATCATTTTAACAATAATGTATTTAAGAACAAATTTAAGCGTAATTTTTACAGAATAAAGTTAAGATTTTACAAATTAAAGTGTAAGATGTAATATTAATGCCTGCAAATATTCCCGACCCTCTTCGACATAAACTGAATGTATAATGCTAATGATGGAAGCATCTGAACAAAGCTATAGTTTTGTGCCACAAACTCAGCATTAACTATAGTCCTATGTGATACATGTAACCATGTGTCACACGTGCCACAAAATTTAAGAAACTCTGGATTCAAAGTAGCCAGTGCAAATGAACCTCTTGGGTCCCCTATATATTATGCCATTTTTTTTCTTCAATTTTCGGGAAATAGGCTGGTTGTTATAGTAAAGAGCTGCGTCTCTTTCTTTACGTGGAGAAGGTTAAGGTACTCCAACGGGAAGGATAACTCTTTAATTTATAATTTGATTCAAAGAGTCTCAAAATGAAGCTTGAAAATTAAATCTTTTCATGCAACATTTTCCATTTTATACGTCTCAATGTGCTTCAAGATTCTCTGAAGTTCTCAGAAAGGTCTTTAAAAAAGTCGAAATTTTTACCTCATAAAATTACATATTTAAAGAAATTGAGGTTCATTTTAATCAAACCATAGACACCAATGTTTTTAACATGATATGAAATTGCAAGTGATTAATGGAGTCGTTTTAAGAATGATGATAGAAAAGTCTTATTCACTATCTATTGTAAAATGATCGAAGTAAATAGAAGAACATAACCTACCTTAGATGTATAAAAACTGTGCAATTCCTTCGAAAGCCTGGATACCTATGTTTTTTTTTTTATTTCTAAATGTGTTTGTTGATTAAATTTGAATTGGAAGATGCATAGTAGGTGTTTTTATTCGCATTTCCTGAAATTTATTTGAGATTTACTAGTTTTCCTTTTCCCTATATTATATGATTAACTTTAAAGATGAAGTTTTAAGAAGAATCGTTGATAAAAACACATTACCTAAAGAATTTAGAGACATTTTTGTAATTACTAAATGCCTGATTTTCAGAACCTGAGGATTGGAGTACCTTGTAATTTGAAATTGCATATTTTCAAATATATGCAATAAATTCTGCTGTGGATGGTGACAGCTTTTTCTGTAATTATGTTTTTCTTTAAGGTATGTCACTCGTCAGCTTTTTAGAAAAGTTCACGCAGAACCTCTTACTTAAAAAATATTTATTAAAATTCAATTTTTATAAAATATTTATATTCAACAATGTTAATTTTTTAACATTCATAAAAAAACTGCTTAAAAATCTACATAGAAGCAAGATTTATGAGGGACTATTTCTTGTGGTGGAAGGATATTCAGCAGAAATTTCTGCAAATCTGCACATTTATTAACTTTAATGTCTTGAAACTTTAGCCTCACATACTTTTACTCGGAGAACATTTTCCGTTATGATATTGCAGGAATATTTAATATAGGTCTTAATTTATATTTTAAGAGCAAGTTTTACACCTTCCCTCAACAAACCTTGCCAACAAATGAATTTATATTAAAGAAGTCAAGATAAAATTTACACCATTTTTTGCCCCAAAATCACATATTTTGACCAATATTTCAAAATTAACATCACTGACCCCAACTTTTTCTTTCATTATTTTAAACTACTCAATACTTGTGACTGATCAGCACTTAACTCCTAAAAAGCTTGATACAAGAAAATATTTCTTTGCCTATTTAGTTTTTTAATACCCAAAATATGTTATTTTTTAGTGCAAAAAGGTCACACAATAATAAACTCGCATTAATTTGCAAGATTTGTTCAATGATAATTATTATTCAAACAATTTTATGTAGAATAAGATTAAATTTATTAACGTAGTAACATCTGATAAAATAAAATTAGAGATAAAGTAATAAATCAAAGAGTTAAAATTTAAGTGCAAAAAGGTCAACTTAATTGTACCATAGATCAGTAAGATGCACACTGACCCCCTATTTTCTCTGCGATTTTGAGTCATACTATATGAGTACTTATCCAAATATACTTCCAAAAAAATCCTTGATTTAAGAAATTTGACGAGTGACTGACCTTAAGGTAGGATTCTTCTCTGGATTCTGAGTAGATGAAATATTCAATATGTCTTATATATTTAGGTGAAAGAGATTTAAAAAACCACATTTTTGTTCCCTCTTCACAATTGTACAACTTTAAATAAAAATGATAAATTGTGTTCGATAACTAGCAGGAACTATATTTTTTGCGGAATGGTGGCGTATGAAAATATTTTCTTTTCTGCTTCTCAAAATTATTATAGAACTACGAATTTAATTATAATTTTTACACAATCAATTAAAGATTAGAGGTAATTTTCAAATGTTAGCTAAATTGATAATAAGGAACTAAAGTTTTAATATCTACATGCATCAAATAAATGTGAATTTCCAAACAATCTACAGTTATGTTTGCTTTTAAAAGCTTCAACTCTAAGTACTGATATGAGTCAAAAATCCATAGAAAGTGTTTTTACTCTCTTACTAAACGGTCAAAACTTTTTATTTTTCTGTCATTTTGTATCTCTGTATGACTGAATTACCATATGTAAAAATTAAGAAAATTTTAAATATAGGGCGCATATAAAAATAACTTAAATATCCTAAACAAAATTAAGAAAAACAGAGAAAATTCGGATTAACCAAATCCATTATTGTTAAACTATTTGTGTCAACTCGGTAATATCATCTTATAGATCCTATATGGTAATATCTTTTTATTCAAAAAGAAAAACATTTAATCTTTTGAAATAGAAGACCCTATCTCGTGATTGGAGGCAGTTATTTTTATTATTAATGACCAGGGAAAAGGTAATGACCTTGAACTGACCTTGTCTCTAAAATATGATACGGTCAAAACTAATACCATTACTTAGTAAAATTGTCTTCTTGGTTCTGAGAAAATTTCATTACTTTTTAAATACAAGAAACAAAGTTTTGTGTGAGAAGAATCCAACCTTAATGCTTTAATGAATAGGAACGAGAATATAATAAATCTTTTTTTTTTTGCACTGATAATAAAAAAAAAAGATGTGCATGTACGTATAAGTAATTGTAAATGCTTAATAATATACATAATGTAGTAATATATGGAAATCAAAAAAATCTCGAGTTTATATATTTACATTACCATGTCTTACCTTCAACATTTTTCTTGTCGGAATCAAAAAAAAATCCACGTTAGTCACTAGTTTCTTTTCCATAAAGGAAGATAACGATTTGTATATATATATATATATATATATAATATAAATGGGAAAAAATATATATATATATATATATATATATATTTTTATATATATATATTTATATATCACCTGAGTCATTCAGGTGATCTATTGCTATCTGTTTTTTTTTTCGTTGTCGTCCGTCGTGCGTTAACATTTAATATATATATATATATATATATACTATATATATATATATCATATAATATTATACATATATATATAGCAGTCAAAGCCTGGACAAAGAGGAGTCTAACTGTTGGCATGATTGTAAAAAGCATTGAGCCCTATACCAAAATTGTGAATTAAGGCCCCAAGGTCAGGGGATCTGGTGCTAGGGTTTGGATCTGTTGAATGAAAGGTGAACATTATTATTTCTTCAAAAATCTTTTTCTCTGCTCCCGGTATAATACCAAATGAACTACATACATAGTAACATGTATAATGTGGAAGGGTGCCTCTTCCAAAATTGTGCATTTCATGGCCCCTATGGCAGGGGTTCTGGTGTTAGGGCGGGGCTTTGATTATTTTATAGTGAAAATGCATTTGTTCTTTAAAAATCTTCTATCCTGCTCCTGGGTTTTAAACCAATGAACTATGTACATAGTTGCGATGAGTAAGGATGCCTCTTCCAAATTCGTGAATTTCATGAACCCTGGAGCTAGGGTTCTGGTGTTAGGGCGGGATACTTTTGTGATTATATAGTGAAAATGCATGATTTCTTTGAAAATCTTTTGCTTTGCTCTTCGGTAATATGCCAGCTATCAGGAAACATATTCTTATTACCACTACATGAATATTGTAAATCAAAAAGCCAATATAAGTATATGTTTATGATGAAGAAAGGTGCCTCTTCCAAAATGATTAATTCCATGGCCCCTGGTTAAAGGGAACGTGGGGATGTTACATATTTTAAAAATGAATTAATGCTTTGAAATCATATGCTCTTTGGTATTAATTAACCATTCATGATGAGTGAAGATGCGTTTTCAAAACTTGTGAAATATGTGGTCCCAGGGTCAGTGTTTCCTGTGGAGTGTGGCACTGCTGGTTTAATAGTGGAAGTGCATTTTTTCTTTGTTCCTCAGATCTATTTCTGGGTACCGTATTAAGTAACCAAAGTCAGCATGCTAAGTATATACACGTAGTTATAATTACTAATGGTGTCTCTTTCAAA